TACTGCTGTGTATCTAACTCAAAGTTTAACATTACAATGCGAAACTTCATTATAATATATAATTCTGTCCTACCTATTTGCAAGAGAAAGTCTAGATTTTCCAAAAATATGTATGCACTCAATAGCAAAACGAGTACAATCAAAAACAGATTTGTTTATCACAAATGTATATTGTTCACTTATAATATTTATAAAATGCAAAGAAGATAGTAATTTTTAGTCCTTTCATTACAGTGTTCTGGACATACTTAAAATATAAAGATATTTTAATATCTTTATTCAATATATCAGAAGAATAAAACACCTCCATTTTGCTCATGGAGCTGACCTTAAAACTGCTCCAGAGCTTTCACATTTTTCGTTGAGGCCCATCATCCGAAAAGGCGCACAGCCGTGATGAATCCTGCTTTGCTAATGCTTTTGGTTTTCTGAAACTTTTGATCTTAATTTTTGCTCCAGTCATGTACTTCCAAGTGTACAGCATATAATATTTTGAAGGCAAACATTTGAGAACAATTCTCTGCTTAAGGAACAAAAAATAATAATAATAATAACCACACACTGACCACAAGAAAGCTGCTGCTCTGAAAGTGTGTAGGCTACCATTTGCTCACTGATGATCATACACAGCGCTGAAAAGACAGGACACCCACATTCAGAAAAATGCGGTGCCAGCAAACTTCAAAGTCCATAGCCTTCAAGATGCAGAGGTTTTCAAACACTGGGGCACGACTCCAAGGAACAGACCAAAGCTAACCCCGATAAAGCAGGAATTAGAAATTGTAACGCGACTTGCTCAGCCGCCGGTGCTGTCCTCTGCGAGGAAACTGAAATCACCTGCAGTGTCTTATCCAGGAGCTGGCCCAATCACTCTCCCGGCGCCGTCCGTAATAGCGTCGGTCCCTGCTAAATTTCCATTGTATTTACTTGATTTATTTCAGCCCAAACGTACAGTAGTTAATACGAGTAATCTCGCAAATGTATTTTTATAGTAATCTTTCGGTAAAACCTGATTGTCTCACTGGGATTTTCTTAAATAGATGCGTGTCTTTCTTGTTAAAGCCAGTCACAATTTACCACAAATCTCGATTAGAATTCACCACCACGGTGCTATTTTTAATATCCTCCTCACAGTCACGGGTAGACGTGACAGGAGCTGGTGTTCTTTTTGCTGTTACCGATGTATTCCGTTTTTTACAAACGAGCGAGCTGGGAGTCGCGCTGCTGGCGAGATCTTGTAAAGCGCAGAAGCGCAGAAGACTGAGGACGACGTGTGAACAGAAATGATTTAACATCAAGACATTTCACTCGGCTGGTGTGTGTTTCTGGACTATGGGCTGTGAGACACATTACGGTCTAGTTCATGAGGAAAAATACTTATTCCCCATTTTGGGATAATTTATTATAATCGGCAAAATGAATGTTGTAGTTCAGGTGGGCGGCTGCGTCAGAGGAACAAGTAAAGGTTTATTCCTTCCTGAAAAGAGAGGAAAAGAAACACAACTTTTCGGCTGTGGAGCCTTCTTCGGGTGTTAATTAATTCCAAATTAATTGTAGATAAGAGTGATATAAATGTTAGAATATCTTGTTTCCCCTTCCCCTTTCGGGGATTATGAACGGCCTAGTTCCCAGAGAGAATCTCCTTTTCATCGCAGCAATCCGAATCGCTCCCATTCCCGTGCTATTGAAGCTGCGGTTGTTAACACAGTCGAGTTGTTTTAATGCTTCTGTCATCTGGGAGGAAGAAACGGAACTCCCAGTTTCATCCCTTACTCAAAATACGTGGCTGTGAAACAATACGTACGAGCACAATACTGTGCAAAGAATACTGAATGAAAATTCATTAGCTTGACGACGCAGTCAACTTCTGACAGAGAAAATAACTCCTTTATTATTATTATTTAGTAACTGAAGATTATTTATAAATCTAGTTATTGGTATTAAGAAGTCGTGCATGTACAATTATGATAACTGCGTGTGAGAATGAATTATTTTTTTAAGACGTGCTGTTGTGCACTGGCCTAGGCGCTTGGCTATCTGCGCATCACACCAATTTAAAAAATACTACTGTCACATCGCTTGGTGTCTCAAAATGAAATGATACCCCAGAACGAAAAAAGGTTTGTATCTCAGTGTTGTTCTTCAGTAATCGCTGAACTGAATAATATTGATTAACAAGAGAAGGCATCTATTTCTGGTTGTGGGAAATTGATTCGGGAATGAATTTGTTCAACTATGAATTATGTATTAATTTTCACGCATGTCGCTTTCATTAATTTACAACACTGAAAATGTTTCACAGTGATTTAGTAAGACTCCGACCACAACTCGTCCAGGTTGAACTACTGTACGGAATCGCAGAGCGCCCGCAGAAACCGGTTACCCTACTTTTTTGTGAAGCTGTATATTTAGTACATCCTCTTACCTTGATTAACTTTCAAATCATGTTTTAAGTAGTACATGCTTTTCATTGTGACCAAAAAATATATGTCCCACTTTCAATTTCTACCGATGGAAAAGCAGGCCATTTTAATGTTCATAAATTCAATGCAATGATCCCCAAAACAAGCTGTCGCGTATTGACATGGATAGGCGTTCAAAGTGAGATAGCATTTAAATAGGTGTGAACGACAAAAAATGTGAACAAAAAAATCAAAGTTTATTATAATATAAATATCGATATTTTACTTCTTTATAAGCATCTGATCAAACTTTATTTCAAGTCTTAATATTCCACATCCGCGTAAATAACTCACTCCTCTGGTCCTACGAGTAAATTTTGCAGTATAATTAAATCAAAACTCGACTGCGCCACGCAATAACAGTAAGGCCTACTAATGTGATAATAATAACAACGGCATAAAATGACAATAATAAAAATCGGTATTTTATGTTCGTTTTTTACAATAGAAATTCGCAGAAATGGGCATATAGTTAGAGCAGCTTGATCAATTGTGAGCAGGACTTTTGCTGTGCGTCACCCGATCGATTTTGAACAGCTCACTGTGAGAAACTAACCGGCAGGTCGAAATATGTATTTAAAATTATTTAAATAGACCACTCTGCAATATTTTGAATATGAGCATATTCTTGAAAATTATGATGGCTTTCAAATGTTATTTTTCAAAAATCTGTTAATTAATTCATTAATGAATAATTGTAAGAAAATATATAATATTACTAACAAATCAGTTTTATGTCGACTAGGTTATGTGAAGGATGGAGCATTTATAGAAAGATATAACTGGATTATAATTGCATCTATATCACTGCTCGGTAGGTGAAGAACAATTGAAAGAATAAATGAAATTACAGTATCTTTAAATGGTTTAAGAAACGCAGCAAAATCAAAATATCGCAGCACAGGGTTGTTGGCAATTTATTGCACGGTTTAAAATAAAACTAAGCGTGATTATAATATATAACAATTTTTTAAATTTCGGATTTTTTTTTCATTTTTGCAGGAAAATTAAAATACATTTACCATTTCATTTAGGACATTGGGAATATGACAGTACTGATACTTTCAACGTGTGTATTCTATTCGCAAAATGACACTACAAACCGATGTCCGATGCCCCAGTGTAATACCACCGGTAGTATTTAACATTCGCGCATACGTCGATTTGATTTTTTCAATTCATATACAGAGCATTCACATCCATAACAAGTTCCGATTTCAAAGCCCCCCAAAAAAAGATTTTGAGAAGAGAACGCAACTACACAACGTTGCAAAATAGCGAGGTCAACATATGTCTTGGTTCTAAATCCCTGTTGGCGTGTACATTAGCAGAACAATTCTGTTTCATGATTTGTATGTATTTAGCTGCTCCATTATCAAAACTATTTTTCTAACGATCTCTATTTAATAGAATTCTCCCTATATATACCTATCATTTTAAATATAACTTTTCATGTATTGCGAAGGTATACATTTCTGTTTTAATAGTGAACAAATACATTAGTTGTTTTCCTCCTGTGTTACATTTTAATAAAAGGAGAAATGAAATAATTTACATGTACTGTTTTTCTGTGAGCATCAACAACTCGATCATCTAGGAATTGTGCACATGAACTCGTTGCAGAATGGCCTCTTCCTAATGTAATAAGTAGAACAATTCTCCGCTGTTAATCTGGCAAATCAATCTCTGCACGTGTAAATATCGTGAAGCGGCGGTTTCAGGAGATCGTGTTTGATACTCGAAGTAATAAGATTGATTTCCCTAGACTTCACTGAAGTATTTATACTTGTATGCGTGCGTGCATGACACTATATAAATAGAAATATTTAATGAAATATGTCTGTAAGAGTTTAACACGCCGAAACCCGCAGACATATTTGAAATGACCTGCAGACATATTTGGACTATGACAAAACCTCTCTGAATGTTTCGTCTTGGAAAAATAAGTATATAAAGAATTTTCATACTTTTTGCCGGATCCCAAAAAAACGGGGAACAGATTTTGTAAATCAGAACAAAATCGAACACCCGAATAATCGATCAATACTATGAAAGTGGAATAAGGGGTCTTTTGCGGTACGAAAATATGTTAAAACTCCAGGTGGACCACAATGTCACCATACCAACAGGTATGACAGTTGAAATAAGTGTCATCATAATAACATTAAAGCCTGCTGATGATCAGAAAACGGTCCAGACGAGCCTTCAGCTATTTACTCGTCTACCTCTTTGACTGATGAATCGGTTGAATGCACTTGGATTAAATTGTTTAATGTAAGACTAATCCAGCCAATATCTGTGGTCATTTCTATTTCCTGAACTCGTTTCGTTAAATTATCTGTAAAAACACACAACCAGTCAAGCAGTCATCCAGTATTACAGATACGGGCCTTAATACAATTAAAGTGCCATATTTCCTGATGGCAAGACGGGATCATGTTTTTTCTCTACTCTATTCGAATCTCTCAGCCCCCGCGGGCGCACGGCGGAGCTGTGGAGATGTCTGCCTCCGAGCAAGCCTGTCGTCTGAGCACTAACCGGGGTGGATATCCAGACAGTGAGCCGGGTCGTCCTCGTCTCCTAGCTGTCCACTGGGGCTGAGGCTCTCCATGGACAACTCCAACTCCTTCTCCTCCCAGTCTCTCAGCTTCCTCTTCTTGTTCGTCCCAATCAACGCTTCGACTGAAAAGGCATGAGCCCTGGAACTAAGCGCCGCCGCGGATCTCCTTCTGTCGCTCATTGTACAGCAAATCCAAGAGAAGAAAACAACACACTCACACACACACACAAAAAAAAGAGCTCCTTCCAAAATTACCCGGAAAAAAAAAACACTTACAGAGAATGTTAAAGACGGAAACACTTGCCAAAAAAAAAGTAATCCAGCGACTATGACTAGCAAAGGGTTACATCAGCTTTTAATGATGAGGTTCCATGCCTGGAGCTTTTCCTAGTTTAAAACCTGTCGGGAGATTTTGTTTTGGAGGGATCTCGGGCTTTGGAGCGCCGATTGCTGCAGTTCTTCTTTCTTTCGCTTCTTTCGGGCTGTCTCTGATTGATACTCACTTCTGCGGAACTTTTTTTTTTCTTCGGGAAGGAACCGGGCTGCCTCCGTGCCCCTGTCAAACGCCGGGCGTCCAATGGGCGGCGCGGAGAGGGAGCGCAGCGAAACGTGTCGCCCAATGGCGGCGCGGAGAAACGCGAACCCCCCGGTGTGAAGCCCTCAAACCAGATGGTCATTACTGGACATCCCTTCAATTAACCCCATCAGCACAGCGCGGCACTGACAGCATCACAGCACCTGAAAAAGTGGCCACCGCGACAGCTGCGGTTTAGGCTCAATCCGTCTAAAGGAAAACACATATATTTATATATATTCTGATGAATATCATTGCAGCTTTAAACGCACACAGCATCTGTATTCTACTGATGTATGGTTTCCCTACGTTAAAATAATAAGAGGCTTCTTAAGCGCCGAGCTGACTCTTAGTCTATACAGTACAAGAAGTCTCTCACACTTGTCTTGCAGTAGGAGTTCTGCGCAGACACCTCGCCGGCTCTCTCGACGACGGGCCTGTATTTGGGAAACCAACGGAGAAGTTCAAACGTCTTTTAGGCCCTCTTTCGTGCTTTTGCGATCATTGTTTCCGAGTTTAAAAGTAGTAAAGTCTCCATGTGCATGCGCTTTTATTCCATGCAACCTGACATTTACCGTACATACAACTATCGCAAAATGAGTCTAGAAAAGCAATAAAAGTGCATTATTTTTGTGATGCAAGTTAGGTATTTCATATGGTGATGAAAGCAGTTTATTTAGGAGTGTGGCACATATATTTCGGATTCATTACGTCTCCTATACTATACATTTTTTTCTTTCATGTATAGACCACATTTAAAAGGCTCACATTTCGAGACGCGAGTTTTCCCTCTGTTTCAGTCTAAAAGGCGTATTAGGACTCTTATTCCAGGTCGCACGTACGGTATGATCCTAAAACATGCAATATGCCACGGCAGTTAGACGTGAATTGGTTATTTTCTCATTAGTCTGACATGAGGATACCTGTTGTTGAATGAGAGCGCTGATCTTTTTATTCTCATAATTAACCTCAATATTTAAAGGAAACAACCCTTGTCCCATTCTGAAGTTTATGGCAGGTGGCTTGGTCGTTGCGATGAGATTTCCAATGAACTGTGTACAGGAAACAGCACGACGCGTTGAGCTGGATATCTGGTTTATTTCACTAGATTTGATTTTCACAATGATAATTGATGTCAGAATCACTCGTTAAAGGTTAAACGTCGCAAACATCTATCTGTAAAAAACACTAACTAAACGCGACGCCGATAGGAATGACATTTAAATCATTTGCCTGGTTTCATCGTTTATATTCGATCTACTTTATCGACTCCGCAATACGTTTTACATTATAAGTGGAATATTATTGACTACTTAACCAGCAATAGTACATATTGTTTTCATAATAGCAGATGTAGCTGACATTAGTTTAGGTGAGATGGCAGCATTAATAATGATGTTATTAGTAGTGAATGGTTTTGCATGGATTTGGTGAAAATTGTAGATTTTTCTGTTATATACAAAAGGTTGTTCTGTACCACCACAAAAACGCAAGACGCAAAGAAAACTCTAAGGAGTTAAAGTAATATTTTAACTCCTTAAATTGAGAGAAAAATCGCACTTTATGCAAACACTAAGAGCTTATCCCAGAAAACCAGTGAAATCAAAATACCAGCCTGCTACACAGCGCAAATCGTTTAAGATGTCATTGGATTGGCAATAAAACCGTCTTTCTGAATTAAATTAAAATTAATTCGACAAACAAATACGGTTTTAATTGGACACGTACTGTATACGTTGCCGTGATGTTGACAAAATGTTATCTTGCTTATTAACATTACCTAAATACGCATACACATAGCCTAATATATTCCAGAAAGCACACCTCGACTCGAGGGTTTTGCCTTTCCCCGCGAGTTTCGCGACGAGTTGACTCTATATCCGTGTTTATTTATTCCTCTTACTGTGCTCGTCACTGTGTTGAACTATTAAATGTGTGTGTCAAAGTAACTGCTCGCCGAAACGGGATATGCCGGAGAGCACCCGACTGCAAACGTTTCGATTGGGAAGATCGTTGGTAGGAGGAATGCAGATTGAGGTACTCTGGCTTTGCAGTGGGAAAAAAAATAATCAAAAAACAGCAAAATATTTTTTTTCCAAACAACGGCACGTTTTTTTGATTCAGTTCAGAAAATGATATCTCCGTGTTTTGTTATCCTACACGTGCAAGCTGAAACTGTACTGGAGAAAAATAATATTCTTCCCGATGTCTTGTTTTCGATATAGTTTTGTGCAGGCTGCTATTAAATGTACACTATTTATTTAGTAGGAAATACGTTACTGGACGGCTCCCGTTTTGAGTCGTAAAAAGGCAGGCTAAAAATTAAAAAATAATATTCGATGAACGTATTGTCTTAATTATATTGTATATAATAGCACAATATTAAAGTAGTACCGCGACTTATACTGTATATGAGCTACGTAAACGCTGAGTAATTTAACCATTATTTTGGTGCGACTTAAAAACTCACTTTTTTTGTTGAACATATATACAATATATGATCAAAATAAGTGCATTCATCTTTTAAAAATACATGGCAGAAAATAATTTCCCATTAATGTCTGTTGCCTGTAATTGTGCTTATTTCTATGACTTTTTCCGCCCACTCGCGTTAACGTTCCCGAAATTTTCTTCAGGTATTAAAAAAAAAGATTAAATGTTTACAGTCCATTTTATTCTATTGATGTTCTTCACTATTTCGTTCTTGATTTGTGAAAAGAAAACAGAACTGTGATTCACGAAGGGAATGGAACGGAATAAAAAGACGACCAGAATTTCTTTTGCGGAAATTTCCTGATGAAAAATACCCTGTCAAGAACAAGCCGGTCACTCCCAGACTTGCATCCACGTGTAACGAGGGAAAGCAGAAAACACTGAGCTTAATACTGGGACCCACAGTCACAAAACTCACACAGGTGTTCAGACCCAGAATTAGCACCAACTTCAGCAGAATGTCTGGTAGCGACGGGAGCAGAAACTGGCAACTCAAATTAAAGTCGTCGAAATAGTCACATCATTTTTTACTTTTTAGAAGACCTCATTGCGTATTGTCCACCTTTAATGTCATGTTAATAAAGAAACGATAAACCCGTACAGTACATTTTGTTCACGTTCTGCTCCCTCGCTCCAGCACCACAGCATGCACTGTATATATACACACATATACATTTAAATGTTCATTTAAAAAAAGATTATACGTTTATTCTGTTTAAGCTGTTAGAAATATCGAAGAGAAAATACTAACTGTATTTCCATTAACGAGAACCCTGTCTTCGAAAACCTACGCCATTGCGTCTCATGCAATTCAGCGCCTTTTCCACCGTCCGGTTTCAGTCCTGTATGAGGTCAAAGGTTGTAGCACAGATCCAAATATAATTGGAATGTTTTACGTAACACGATCGCGACATGCAGCGCACTCGACTTTTATCCCATTAACATGTGACGACAGGTGCAAAACCGTCGTTTTTAGATATAATAACAAGCGCTCCTTAAATAACGGGGCTATAGCGTTATATATATATATATTTTAAAAAGGTTATAAAAATAGAAAACTATTAACCAGCTGATTTTCTTTCATGATACTGAAAGGCATTCATTTAAGGTTTCAACTGAAGTTTAACGTCAGCTGAACAAGTTTCCTATTTCCCTGACTGGTCAATTTTATTCAAAAAACACACTGTTATGTCTGGTCTTTGGGCATTCCGCACTTCATGATTTTTTTTTTTTCCACTGAAGCAGCAGGTTGACCTGGCTGCCATTTCATAGCGACGACGATAAATAACTGGCCCTAGAATTAGCGATGTTCGGGAAGGCATTGGGTAAAAACAATAGCACAGCCGCACTGATGAGTGGGCTTTTACATGATTTTAAAACACCAAGCAGGGTAAATAGACGTATAGACGCAACGAGCGGTCATCCTAATCGTCCTGCTTGCGACACGCAGCCCCATCTGTATGGAAACACCAACAACAGTTAAAGTTGTGAGGTTGCCTGCAGGCGGGAAGCGAAAACTGAATTAGTACATTTTATCCGTGTCATTATTTCCGTAACTGTACGGCAAAGACAAGTTAATTTAAAAGTATTGCATTTTAGCCTCGTATACCGTTGTAAAGTAAACGGTCATTTTAATCCAGACCAACCCGACCCGAGAGCAGGATTGCGGAGGACAGAGAAAAACTCCGGATGTCAGTAATGTTATAATTGTAATTAAGAATGCAAAGGAACAGCAGATTATTTTCAGATTACCGTTTAAAAAGGATCCTGTCAGAATTCAGTTCCCTTTTAATACATCTATTCAGACATATGAGAACGACGCATCGCCAATGTTTTTTTTTTTTAAAAAAAGCAGTTTAAAAACCCCGCATCGTGATATGGTATTTGAAATATTTCTGTAACTTTAAAGGACTGTTCTTTTTAAAGAACCCGTTACAGGAAACGAAGAGGAACGCGCTCACAAAAACTCACAACGATCTGAGGTTAAGATCTTATTAATACCTCGCAATTATTTCTGGTGTCTTGGTTGCGCGAGTACTATGGCCTAAGGTTATAGCAACACCGCACTGCAAATTAGCGAGGCGAGGCGAATATTAAAGACGTTGATCACATTTATTATCGTGTTATCTTGATAATTAGAGTTGAGATGACGCGCAGATGCAGCAAGGAGAACACAAGAAATAACATAAATAATAAATGATATTTTTACGTGACGGGATTGAGTTCGGTATATAATACTCAAAATGTAAAATAATATTTAAGCGAACCGCAAAATTAATTAAATGCGTTTTTAATTCAGGATGATAAGATGTAAAGGGGCGATGATAATAACAGTTGCAACAAGAACAATAACAACTACAGTTATAGCGATGATGTTGACGAGCGAGGGGAACATTATTCCATCCTTGTGGGCAAACTACGGAACAGCAGTATGTTCTTCCCCGGCAAGGTATCCCATAGCTTCGGCTATACAGTATAAGGAAATAATAGTATGTCAGAAAAAGGCCAAGGTCAAACATTCCTATTCGAATTCAAGTTGAAAACGGCCAACTCTACACGTCACCATAACAAGTTGTAATTTATATTTATATTAAATTGCAGGCAATATGCTATACGACGTCAGTGGGATTTAAGACATCTAACCTCGCTTATTACCTTTGGACTGTAATTTTAAAAGCCTGAAAGTCATTATTTTTCTTACCAATCCCATGCATACACGATCAAATATGTACATTACATTTTTCCACAGCCTGCTTAGCAGCGGAAAGCTGGCAGCGCGAAACGTCTGTGAATCTTTGGAGTGCCCCCTACTGTTGTAACAGGTATACTCCAGCTTCAAGCGAACCCGGTTTGGAAAGGTATTATTTACACGCTCAAACGCGGACTTGAAGTGCACGTTCTGCTGGGGAAATTGCTTAAATAATGAACGCGAATTGATCAAGAAGACAGAAGTTGAAAACCTCGTTCGACACAACCTTAAACGCTGAATCGACTGCAGGAGAAACAGCACTCGTCACAAACTGGAAAAACACGCAGGACTTCAAGAGAAACGGCCTCATCACACCGCAGAGCGCTGAAGTTAGTGTCCTGTTCTATCAGTCCGCTGTGAACCAGCCAAATTAGTTTGAGTCCAAAGGCCTATACTAATAATATATATATATATGGTGGCGCACATCACCGCCTCAAGCAAATTGCTCATGTAGTCAAGCGGACCTTTGAGTTCGGCTCCCGAGTTTCCTGAGAAACCAACGGATGTGTAAAAGAAGATTTTCCTTGTTGTTTCTGTGATTTCACGTTGCCCTTCGAAACGTCCCCTTGTAAGAAATATAAACATGTATCAGAAGTACTTATTTTGGGTTTCCAACATACGAATGGAAGACTGAAACATGTTTTTATATTATTATAAGATCAAGGCACGAACAGTTTGGCTGTTAGCGGCGATTTCTACCCCCCCCAGTATGTCAATATGTGCAAACGCGTAGTAAAATTGACAGAATCCTTTAAGGACACATTCCATAATGATGGGAGAAATATCTGTGGTTTCCTCTTCGATTCTCTGGGTCATACAGTACAGTATGAAGAATGTAGCGATCAAAGAAACATACTGATCTACAATTACATGACAAATTTAAATTTGGTTCGAGGAGCTTCAATTAACTCGGCTTATAAACCCTCAAGAGCAGTGGGAAGTGGTTACCAATCATCTGCCCCTACAGACAGGGAACAAGGGACTGTGGGAAGACCTAGAGGCCTGAAACATTTTTAGCTTTAAAAAAAGAGCCCGTCGATTTTGTCCCATGATAACACTTTTCATATTAACAGTGCCTGTCTCTTGAAAAGAACTAACCCCTCCACACTCTTGATCATTTTAAACATTAGGAGAAAAGGTCCAGATGGAAGTAATTTCGCTATTCTCATTCGAGAAGGCTGGGGAAACATCATTAACTGCGCTCCACATGAGCAAAACTAGTCGCGGGATGGGCATTAACCTCGTTTTTAAGAGGGGGTCTTGAGGGAGAGAAAAAATACTTCTAAAATAATAATTTTACTTAACTGTTGATAATTGCTATTTTTGATTTTCAGCTAACAGGTATGGCTCAGGAGGGTTTTCCTGGAACTGACAAATAGCAAACAGTTTTACTCCGTTTTCCAAACAGTGCATAATAATGTTCCATTGAAAAATGGAAAATTGCTGAGTGGTGTGTTCTGTTAGCTGTCATTGGAGTTAAAAGAATAAAACATTTCAGGAAGAAGTCCACAATTTATAAAATTCTATTCCCAAGGTGAAAACATTATGATTGCAGAAACATTACAGCAATCTTATTGCACTTTCTTAAAAAAAAACATCAGAAAAAAGGGGACTGCTTAAAGAGGCCGTTGCTCTTTAAAAACAAATTTAGTTTTTAAAGCATTACTGAACAATCTCAGGAGAGCAGTTACTGTAAATAAGATCAGTCATGTTTAATTCTTCATTAATTTAATTCATTAAACATAAAAAAATAAAAATGTTAAACTGTCTTTTTTCCCCCAAATTGTTTTCAGTTTTCTGGCTATGTTACGTCACAGCCAAAATATTAACATAAAGCTTACAAAGACTCGATACAGAGAGATTATAGCACGATCCTTTGACATTTCTCTAGCTTTCATAATTTTAAAGATAATATTTAACGTAACTTTAAAACATTTACAGTTTAGAAAACAGAATATTAACACTCAAACCAGTTACATAACAGCAGGGACAAAATTCCCTTTTACTAAATATTCCCAGCATAAGATTGGTTAACAGCTTCTCTTGTAGACCAGATGTTGAAGTAAACTGGTAGAGCTCTTCTTTCCAATTACCAGATCAACCTGAAACAATGTAGTTCGCCCCTGTGTTTTCCTTGCAATCTCTATGTAGACTGGAGAAGGAGAATATAGGAGGATTTGTACGTTGCCTTTCACATTGCTGATGCAGTGAATACAGACACTGTATCCAGTATGAGACTGATCTACTCCTACATCCAGGAAACGAGCCACATCAACAGATTTTGCAGCATTTAGATATGGAGCTCAGCAGAGAAAAGATTTAGCAGATGTTGAAATCTGCAAACAAAATTTTAAACACGGGGTAAAATGATACAAAACTGTATGGTCGGTTTGCAGATATGTTATATTCAGTCCCATCTGGCAAACACTGGAGTTACATCTGAGATGTGTGTGTGTTCAGAGATGACTGGTAAATGTCCCCCAGAAATGTCATCATCTAGAGATCAGCAGCAAGTAAAAGATCACCTCTTAAGGAAAGATGAGTCAGCTAGTGAAGAATTAAGCATTTTTCACAAGGATTTCACAAGGATTAGTGCTTTCTAAACTTCATCTCACACACTTAACGTGGTCAATTTTGAGGTATTTCACAAAATAACATTCTATAGGAGGAAGCATCTTAAGAACATTTCAGGATCAGAACAGAGACAGATCTTACATCTAAAACCTAAAATTGCAACATTATAAAACCCTAGAGTATGCATTTCTTGCGTTTTTGTCAACATACCTAGACTTAGTGAGGTTTATTCATTTAAAAGAATAATAAGTTTAAGTACTTAATTACTATGCTCTTGTACTGTGTTCTGCATGTATCTTAAGAACATCCTTAACTTTCAACCACAGTAAAATCACACTTAAATGAATCAAATGAATGAATGAGCCACTAAACAAATATAAACCATGAAGAACTGCTGAAATCTTCAAGGTGTAGGTCTCCATCTGTTGTCTTTTTAAAGATAACTGGGGGATGTTCAGTGAATCTCATAATGTTGAAAACTTACTGATGTCCCTAGCAACATTTGAAAAGTAAGTTCTGTTCATATTCCATAAGTAAAATCCGCTGCTCCCCTTGTTTATAAAAAGTCACGAAAGCTGCCTGATGTTGACATTAATCAGGAATGACACTGGGCTACCAAGGGTTATATTAGTTTACATCAGTGATCAGAACAGATTGTAGAAACCAAAGCATATCTAGATTCCTCTGAGCACCAGACACGTAACTCTCTTGTTTCTGGACAAGTACAGAAAAAAATGGACAGCATTCAGATTGCACTTGCTATTACAAAAGTACTGAAAAGCTTTACTTAAAAAAAGCAACAGATTATTTGTTCAACTAAATGCTGGTTTCCTAAATGATCTTTTCATGGTTACTCAACACAGATTTAAAGATTTAGTGAACAGCAGCAAAGATTCCAGGTGAATTAATGACATCCAGAAGCTGCATTTCTGTTGGCAGCTACATTTTGCATGTCTCAAAAAGATAAATTGCAAACGCAGAAGAGTTTTTTGTGGAGCACACCTATGACCGTCACTGCCGGCAGTTCCCAGAATGCTCCTGCCTCCAGGAAAATTCCTCCATCAGGAAAACCCAATACGTCTCCTAACCTCCTGATAAACAACAGAAGCACGTTCCTTAGCCTTTTCTGCCCCTCGGCTTAACACCTTCTCCAGGTACCCAGCGTCGGCCCGGAGTCGCTGCACCTCAGCCCGGATCGGGGAAAACTTCTGGATGACAGCTTCAGCTACAACGTGTTTGTACTGGGCCGTCTCCAGTCCCTCACTCTGGTGAACCACCTCCTCCACTGTCTGTCCAGTCACTGCTGCATGGATAGCCACCAAGTTGGAGACGCCAGGCCTGTTCTCGGGATCGAAGGTGACTTCGGAGGTGAAATCCGTGACTGCTTTACGGAATTTAAGCCGGATGTCATCTGGAGTGTCCGTAATGTTGACGGTGGCTAACTTCCGAGGATCGGATTTAGACATTTTGGATGTGGGGTCCCTGAGGGATTTTACCTTTCTTGTTACACCTGAATTTTGAGAAGACAAACAAAGAATAAACGAAAGTGACTTTCTTGCTCTTTAATTTTAAAATCAATACAGAAAATGGCCCACTACAGCTGGACTTGCGTTCTATCCAAACTGTACGTTCCTATCACCGAAGACCTCCCCTCCACCCCTGTCCATCGCACCTTTCAGATGATTTCAGAAAGAGGCGATGACTGGTACGTGCATCATAGGTGTAAGAATGCCACAGCCGCTCCAGAAACAACTCTCTCTCCTTGTGGGGTCAAAATATTGCAAATGCACGACATCAAAAAGACTTGTTTTTCGCACTAGTAAATCCGAACCTTGGTTGAATTTTACAGCATTGTTTTAATAAAGCCCGTCTCCTTGTCTGACCCAACCCATTGTCCTGCACTGTACCTAAACTACAGTTACTAAACAGCACTTGAAAATGGTGATCGGACTCCACTTACTCAAAAGTGGCTGTGGGATGGGAAAGCAGTCCCCGTACTTTTGGTTGAAGATGCGAGCAGTGTCCTGCGCCAGTTCCAAGTGCTGGATCTGATCTTCTCCCACCGGAACATGGGTGGACCTGCAGCAACACACGAGGTTTCCGTAAAGGATCTGGAACCGTCGGCTGGACTTTCCCCTGACAACAAGCACGTCTCGCATGTCGGCACTCAAAGGGGAAGGACAGGCGTGTCAGATATTCTGAGAAACAGGTCACCTTTTTTGTGTTGCTTCAAAAGCCCCTTACGAATCACAGATCATTTACCTGATAAGGAAATTGTGTCACCTAGCTATGGCTTGCCGGATTTAATAAGCCCTCAAAAGCAGAAAGAAATAAGCTGTTTTATTTCATTAAGGACGGTCAACAACATGACCAGGGCTGTGGCTGTTGCTGGAAGACTTCCGACAGTAGGCTTAATGCCTGTCTGCGGAAATGTCATAACTTGTCGTCGTACTTGTATAAGAGGATGTCTGCAGCCTGCAGAATGGGGTAGGCGAACAGGCCCACGCTGCCTTCATTCTTCCGATTGCTCTTCGTCTGGTGCAGAAAAAGGAAACAAAGGATCAGACACACCAGATGCGTTTCACGCTGCTTTGGAAAAGGACATCCCAGTGAACCTCCACTGCAGAAGTGACCCTTACCCGTCATTCTGCGGGAAACTTGCACGAGTGTTTCCAAGCTCAGGGAGCCCTTTACATGTTAGCTATGGACCTGAATGACTTAACACGTTTGTTTTTGTAAGATCCGATGTGCAGCAAGACTTTGGCTGTTCAAAGTCAAAACTGTCTTATACTTCAGCAAGACTTCTAACAGTTTTAAATCTCTGACCTAGAAAATACTTGCCAGTTTTAGAAATGTCCTCCTGAAGCATACAAGACTTACTTGGTGTTGAATAAGTCACCAAGAGATACAAAAATGGCCAAGACAGACTGTTTACCTTCCACTGAGGTAAATGTCGTAGCCGAGGTATGCTGGTCAGACAGCCAAGAACCCAGCAGAGCTCTGTGTGCTCAGACACCTGTGGGAAAGCAAAGAAGACAACGGTAACGCTCACATGATCGCTTAAGTAACGACGCCTGGTCAGCAAATACCTGCACAATTAACAGAAAGGTGGAAAATGTCTGAATCCTTCAGAAACATTATTTTTTCCCCCCTAATCTGGATGTGAATTAGCTTTTTTACTTTCTCTTCAGCCACTTGTCTTTATGCAGCATCAAAACATGCTCGCGAGGATACAACCACGTCGGCCTCGGCTTAGCAACTCCTCTTCTCACCTGACTCTCTTTCCGGATCGGCTGCAGCAGTCGTAACATCAGCAGACAAAATACGTTTCACTGCGAGCCTTGGAATACATGGCTATGCCAAGCCTGGCATGAAAAGCTCATTCTTCCCCCAAAATGTAATTAGTGATCGATAACACTTCACAGGGTTACATTCCAGCTCTCAAGCTTGTTACTTCTTCGACCCCCTGAACTAGTTCACACTTCTTGATCGCCGTTTTTAAAACCCGAGGTTCTCCAGGTGTGATGAACCCAATCCAGTATTATGGGCTAATGCCAAGCAGCGCAGGTTAAACACTCCACATTTCAACGTCGCTACATCGTCACCAGGGACACTGTTGGTCCCACAGTGGAGTCAGAAAAGGGAGAGGGGAAGGGGGGGCTTTCCGTGTTCATATAAGTTTCCTGCCCAGAGAGGCGCTCCTCGCTGTCAAGACCATTGCACGGTTTTAACGAGCTCGTTCACGGCTCACACATCATGTGGCTCTGACACCGCCCGATTCCTGCCAAGTGTGCGGATTCTCGCTGTTCCAGGCTCCACGCTGAACACCACCCGCGCCCACTGAAAGGTTCCTCCACGATCCCACAGGAAGAAAACCCCCTGGGGCGGTCCGGAATCTGCCCCAGGCGCAATCTCTATTACACCAGAGCAGACATCTGGGAGCTGTTTTATCAACCAGCAATGGGCCACACAGACCCCTGCAGGACAGGTCTGGGGGCACCCAGTGACGGAGCGGGTGTGTCCAGCTTCATGTCACAACACATGAAGACACACCAGGACTCTACCGAGATCAGAACGAAGCCCGGCCAAGTGCAGGAGCAGTATCACGGACCTATAAAGGAATTTCAGACACCGTTTCATCACAGTGCAACTGTTTTTCTCCCTGATTCGCCTTTTAATTTATGCAAACGCTTCAGAGCCCTGACGGTTTTCAATAACTCCAGTTAAAACAAATGAAAACTAGAATTTCAGCACGGGTCCTAAAAGAACAGCCAAAGAATTGAATCATACACTAAAAAATAAATCAGAGATATGATTTGGATTATTACAACATTTAATTCTTTTCAGACACTCATTGGTAACAGCAAGAAATGTTATATACACACAGTTAATTTTACTGCATGTTCCCCTTGGTTTTTGTACACTGGCATGCCACAAAAACTAACACTACACCCCCCTAGGCTGTCGTTCCAGTAGGTTAAGTGTTTAATTCACTTATGAACCCTAAGATTTCTTCTTTTTTAACCCTCTCCCACTGCCCCCTCCTTAAGACACTATTGATTTCAATTCGTCACGATGTTCAGTGAGGTCAAGTGTTTTTTTTGGATATAGGTTTTATTTTTACATGTGGAATGAACTGTACGTTGTATTCGATGGGAGGTCCCCAGCAGAGCCAAGATATGTGGCATGAAGTTTAACTAAAATAAAAACAGGGGTTGTGGGGGTGAACGTTCAAAGTTCCAGTCTGAAGGGACCAGCAATCCTGAAATGCTAAAATCACCACACTACTGAGAAAACAACCTCCCAGAAATACAGCGGTGGAAAGACATCTTTGTTTTCTCAACAGATCTTTTTTCATCTTGATCACAGTGCTTTGGCTTTGCACTGTATCCGCGTTTTAAAAAACAACGTGTTGGGAGTGAGCTCACAAGTGCGTCTAGCCCCGATGTTTCCAAAAATAAAAAACCCGTCTTTTATCACTGAATTTCTCAGCAAATCTCTAAGCACTGAGGACTAGATTTAAGGAGCACATGCTTTGTAAACCTCCCTGTCAATCGGTGGAACCCACAGAGATGATCCTAAACTGTGAAAAATTACGAGTACAGTGTGG